GTGCAATTTGGGGGTCGAGTGGGCAGAACACAGAGTGGAAAGCGGCCTTAGCATCACTTAATTCGCTCTACCTGGTTAACAGATGGGGGAGCTGAGGCCCAGAGAGAGGAAAGGGCTTGCCCCAAATCAAACAGTAAGTTGGTGGCTGTGTGGGCCAGGCAGTGCTCGGGCCACCATAGCACCTGGCCCTGCACAGGGGCCCCAGGAATCCCCACCTCCGGCCCTGCACTGCGCTCCCCGTGTTTGTGGGGGCAGGGCTGCCTCTTCCCCAGGCCAGGCTGGAGCGCGGAGCCTCCAGGGGCCTGCGCTGGGCAGGAGCCGCACACCTCGAGGCAGGCCCGTCTGCACGCACCACGCTGGCTTCAGGAGGTCCCAGGGCCCTGCCAGCCTGACTCTGACCCACTGGGGATTTGGGGCCCAGGTCGGCTTGGGCTCCTCCCCTCTGTTGGCTGACAAAAAGGGGTGCAGGCCAGCCTGTGGTGGGGCAGGGAGAGGCAGGAGGGGCGAGGGTGGGCCCAGGGAGGCTGCTTCCTCGTCTCGTCCTGTCCCAGGGTGGGCAGAAGTGAAACCTGCCAGCCCAGCCACTTGGGTCTCTTCTCAAACATAACAGGCAGCAGCAGGGACCAGACAGCAGCCCCCAGCCCGGTTCCCAGCGCCTGTGCCCTCCCCGACTCTGTCCTCCACTCTGCCCCCGTCCTGCTCCGCTTCGGGCCCGCGGCTGGTCCTTCGTGGGCTCCCAAGGGCAGGCTGGCCCAAGGATGGCTCTAGCAGCCACCCTTAAGCCCCTACTAGGGGCAGGGGCTGGAGCAGAGGTGGGTGCCACCCGTGGCCGCCCTGTGCAGAGCATGTGGTAACCCCAGAGCAGAGCGGTGAGCCTGGGAGAACGGCCCGAGGGCCTGGAGGAACCCATGGCTGAGCTGTGTCCCCCAGATTCATATGTTGAAGCCCTAACCCCCGGGTCCTCTGAATGTGACTGTATTTGGAGATGGGCCTTTAAAGCAGTGATTAAGGTAAAGTGAGGTCCTGAGAGTGGGCCCTAGGCCACTATGGCTGCTGTGCTCCTAGAGGGCAAATTTGAACACAGACGTGCACAGAGGGGAGACCGCAGGAGAACACAGGGAGAAAATGGCCATTCACCGCCAAGGAGAGGGCTCAGAAGGAACCAGCCCTGCTGACGCCTTGGTCTTAGACTTCCAGCCTCCAGAACTTCCGCTGTCTGAGCCCCCAGGCTGTGGCCCTCTGTTCGGGCGCCCTGGCAGACAGGATTTCTGCAGGTGTTTCTGATGGGGACTTGGGCAGGAGTAGTTTGGAGATGTAAATACCAGCAGTGCACGAACAGAACACTTGGGTGGTCTGTGGGGACAGTGGGGACAGACATCCTTTCCGAGAGGCTTATTCTATCTGCTTAAAATTAAACCCCCTCTTTCCTTTCTTCCTCTTCTTGCCTTTGGGTCCCAAAGCCACGAGGTGGGCCAGGGAAGGCGGGCCCCAGGCTTCTGGGGCGGGGGAGGGCTGATGGCTGAGTGGGGTGTCGGGGCCTGAGCTGGGCAGGAATGGTCTGAACAGGGCAGGCATCCTCCCAGGGCCAGACAGGCACCAGGCAGGCAGGGCGGTGGTGGCAACAGAGACTTGGCACTACCAGGCATTGCACAAATAGGTAAATAAATGAAGGACAAGAGGAAGCAGAAGCTTCTCACTGCTGGAGAAGGGAGTTGCAGATACGGAAGCAGGGAAAGCAGAGGGTGTAGCTGGAGTTATTGGTGTGATTTCTACACGCACAGACAGACACAGCAACACGCACAAAGCTCGGCGCATGTCTGCCGGGAGGGCCTGGGAGCAGAGCACACCTGGCGCTCTGCACAGAGCAGAGGGGACAGGGCTTGCCCCTGCCCACCCAGAGCTCGCCTCACTGCATCCTCCCCACACCCTGTGAGTCAGGAGGGGTAAGGAGAGCTGAAGCTTGCAGAAATTAAGTCCCTTGTGCAGTCACACAGCGCAGCCGGCTGTGGAGCCAGATCCTAAGCCTGCAGCCCCCAGCCTCTTTGCACTGTCCCTCGGCCCCACCAGCCAGTGTGGGTGCAGGCGAAGGGCTGGCGAGGCGTTGGCGGACCCTGCCCCCTGCACCCTGCAGGCTCTGTACACGCAGCGCTGCTGCCATCTCGTGGTCGCCCTGGGGCACTGACTCTGAGCTGGCCAGGCTGCCAGCTGCCTGGGAGAGGGCAGGGGCTTCCCGAAGTGCCCACTGTGAGTCAGCAGAGGCCGATCCAGGACCACTGGGTGGACCCTACTTGTCCCCGCTGCCGCGGTCAAAGCAGCCGTGGGACCCCTTAGGGGCAGCAGCTTAGACCAGGAGGAGACAAACACTGCCCTTTGGTTCTTTGCCAGCTGGGGAGAAGAGACAGAGGTTGTCCTGGGAGCTGGGTAGGCTATCCCAGAGGCTGAGCTGGGGCCCCCGAAATGACCCAGGAGCCTGAGGGGCAGTGCTCTGAGCCAGGTGTCTGTACCATCCATGATAATAACGACACCTACAGAGCACTTCCTATGTGGCAGGTCGGCTACTTGTCAGCTCAGTAAATCCTCAGGACAACCCTGAGGGAGTGACAGACCATTTATATGTGAGGCACAGAGAGGTTAAGTAATTTGCCTAAGGCCACACAGCACAGGAGGGGCTGCAAAACGGGATTTGCTGCTTTTTGTTAAATTAATTAATTTATTTGGTTTTAGAAACAGGGTCTCCTCTGTTGCCCAGGCCGGAGTGCAGTGCGGTGGCACAATCATAGCTCACAACAGCCTCAGACTCCCGGGCTCAAGTGATCCTCACACCTCGGCCTCCCAAAGTTCTGGGACTACGAGCATGAGCCGCTGCACCTGCCAGGATCTGCTGTTACATGACAATGGGAGAGGCTGTTCCCGAATCAGGGAGCTGGACTGGGGCAGGGAGTGCAGGGGTCAGTTTCCAGGCCCAGGGAAGCCAGGAGGGAGCGGAGGGGGTGGAGCCTCTGCTAAGAGGCTGCCTCCCTGGCACCCCCAACCCCTGCCTACCGGCCCTAGCTCCACTGAACCCTTCCCACCATAGCCCTGGCTCGGTGCCCTCTTCCAATGTAGCTGGGCCCAGTGGGAGCCGCCGGCGCCTCCTTAATCCTGCCCCGTGGTGCCAGGTGGAGGTCCTGTTGCTGCCCAAGGCCCCCACCAGGCAGCTGGTACTCATTTTCGTGGAGCGGTGACTTCCTGCTGCTGTAAAGTGATCTGGCCCCAGCCTGGCCCGCGGCCTCAGACACAGAGCCTGTTGCCAGGAAACCCAGCCTGGCCGTACTAATGGCTTCCTGCCAGCACCCCCTCGCCCCTCCAGGCCCCGCAGCCTTCTCTGGAGGATGGCCCTTAAGGAGCTCCATGCTGTCCTGGCCAGTGGAAGCTGAGAGACCTCGGCAGGGCCCCTTCCTGTCTGGCACGCAGGGCTCTCTCTGCCTGGCCCGTTCTCACTGACCTCCCATCTCCAGTCTGCATCCACTTACCCTTTCATTGGTTTCAAAGCAGGAAATGATCACTGAGTTTATGTCTGTCTTTATTGTCCTCTTGCCTCCCACGTGACCCCACACTGCCGGCACTGCCAGGTTCACCTCCGTGTCACCATTACCTAGCACCACACCTGGTGTGCAGCTGACACTCGGGGATACGTCCACGGGAGTGAACAACTTGATAGTTTTGGTCCTTAGCAGGGCCCTGAGTCCCTGGAGCCATCCACAGAAAGTTCCTTGGGCTTCCTGGCTGACACGGGGGAGCAGCGACCTTGGCTTTGATCCTTGTAAAATCACGATTTCCCCAAGGGGTCTGCAGTTAAATGGAGGGGAGTGAGGGAGGCAGGCAGTGGTGTGTGGGCTGGGCAGGCAGGAGAGGCAGCAGTGAGGAGGGGCTGGGGGTCCCACTCCTTCATTGTTTAGCATATGACTAGGCAGGCTCCTGATTCCCCAAGCCTCAGTTTCCCCACCTGTAAGTAGAGGCCAACACCATCAACCCACGGGGCTGTGGTGAGGTGTGGAGAGGACCAGGCTGGGCACAGCACACGGCGGGAGCTCACAGACACCCTGAGTGCGGGTGGAGCTCGGCCTGGACCACGGGCCCTCCTGAGGGCAGTGGAGTGTCCCTCCTTCCCTGTTTAGGGTCCCCTGTGTCTGCCCCCAAGCTGCCTTCCTTACCCCAACTCCACCTGGAGGGCAGGGCCAGGCCTGGTCTCCTGTGCGCCCAGCTAGAGACCACACCTCAGACGGCAGGTGCTGCCTGCCTTCTGCCCACGGGAGCCGGTGGCCCCTCACACAGACCCGGGCCCCTGTGGACCCAACCGCTCCAGCCCCGCCCCGACCCCCTTCCCTTCGGCTGCCAAGAGCTGGGCCAGGAGGCTCCAACATGCTTCAAGCAGTGACTCCTGGGGGCCCTGGTGGGGAGATTCCAGACCCGAAAAGGTGGTACCCCGAGACCTGGGGCTCTTGAGCTGCCATGGAAGGAGGTAAAAGCTGATCCCCCGCGCCTGACCTATGTATGGCCCAGCATCTTGAGCTGTGTACAAGTCATCCAAACTGGGCTTTGGTGTGGTCATCTGAGAAATGGGGACAATGTGCTTATGAGGAAGTGCCCGGCACATGACAGACAACTGCATCTGTTCCTCTCCTATGACCCAGAGTCATAGTCTCAGAGTCTGTAAAGCGAGGACGAGGACGGTAACTGCTTCTCCCGGGCTATTGTGACAATCCCACAAGCCAGCGAGTAGCCTAAGGCAGTGTCTGTTCACCGACATGGCAACACCGTCCCCGCAGGCTCCCTCCCTTGTGACTGATGTGCCGCTGTGCAGGCAGGAGCTGGCAGAGGGGGCCGCACCCGCTGTTCCGACTGCGCCATCCGCAGAAGCCCACCTCTCGGTTGGCCCCCAGCCCAGCCCTGAGCAGTCCCTCCCCCGTGAGGCCCAGAAGTCACTTCCCACCAGGGCACTGGACACTGCTGCTAGCAAGGTGGTTTTCTACCTTTAATTGGGGACACACAAGGCACCTCTCCCACTACAAGAGGATCAGCCACCAGGCGGGCCCCAGTGCCAGAGGAGCCCTGCCGGCAGGAGCAGAGGGAGGAGACAGGACAAGGTAGTGGAGGGAGGGGGGCCGGGCGTGCCCTGGAGCCCCACCCTGCAGCCTGGGGCTGGTGAGGTCTCGCCCACTGCACCCACTGCGTGCAGCTTCGTACCTGACAGCGGGCAGCTCCTCGGAGGGCTTCCCCCCTGCGCTCCGCGGCTAGCTGCAGCTGTCGTGCGCCCCGAGGCAGGCAGGGAATGGTGAGAGGCTCCGTAGAGCCTCCGCTGAGGCCAGCCTCCAGCCAGGCCCAACCAGCAGTGAGGGCTCGGAAGCGGCTCCTCTGGGGATAGGTCCAGGACAGGGCACCACCCAGGGCAAAGAAAGTCACACCGGGTCAACCAAGCAGCCAGCCCGTCTGTCCTGGGGCCTCCCACTTCTCAGCAAAGTCGCAGTGGCCGGCTCAGGTGGGGAAGGAGGCAGCAGTGGCCAGGACCTCACTGCAGCACGGACCTGTCTCCCCGATCCAGCTCGCTGCCTCCCCACACCCCCGGCACAGCCCAGCCGCAGCCGGTCAGCTCCGTCCTCGAGGAGGAGAGCGGGGGTAACAAGCCACCCCCAAAGCAGCCTAACACCAAAGGAGGGAGAGAGCCCCAGCCCAGGGGACGGGAGCAGCGGGGTGCCAGACCCAGCGCTCATAAGGCAAACAGCATGTCGTCATCTTTCTCCTGGGTCTTTTTCCGAGGGGCCGAGCCGGGAGGGGGGCCCGGGGGCCTCTCGGCTGAGGGGCTGGAGAGGTTGGGCAACCGATCGGCAGCTTTGGCCCGTTCTTCCAGGAACTTGTCAAATTCTAGAGGAAGGAGAGAGGGTAAGGGTGGGCTCTGAGGCCAGAGCCCGGAAAGTGGGTGGGCAGGCAGGGGCCGGGGACTACTACCTTCACTGGTGACACCCTTGGGCTCTTCCGCGCCGTTCCCCTGAGAAAGCAGGAGAGGAGGCAGAAGTTAGCTGCGCCCCAGGGAGCAAGGCCCGGGCGTCCACCTGGTGGGGTGGGGGGGTGGAGGTGGCAGTTGGGCGCCGCTAACCAGTGTTCGTTCCAAGCGCAGGCCCTGCCCCGGCTCTGCCGTTTCCTGAGCCCCAGAGCCTTGGGTGTCACCTGACTTCCCTGAGCCTCAGTTTCTTCTTCCATAAAATGGGGAGGTTGAAGCTAACTTAGAGGGTTGCTGGGAAACTAAGACAGGGTAACAGGCAGAGAAGAATGCCGAGCGCAGGATGTGGCGCCTGGTGGGTCCTCGACGAACGGCCATTCTTTTCCTTGAGGGTCTCGAGGGGTGGAAGTTCTCGCCCCCATGGTGGAGAGGGAGAGACCCAGAAACTGAGGGCCATTCACGCTAAAGGTGAGGGCTGGAAAAGAGGTGACGCTTCTGCGTCCTTGTCCCGACAGAAACACAATCTTGGCACTTGCAGAAGGCAGCCTCGGGCCCGGAGGTGCCCGGGCTCTGGTGTGGTCCTTGGTGCCCAGAGCGGTGGCTCATGCTGGGGCGGAGCCCTGCACGGAGGACCTGAGTCTCACTCCGCCCCCTCTCTCCCTGGGGCCCCATCTGGCGCCCGCCTGCCTCCTCCTGGACACTTCCTGTAGAGGACAGCGGACTGCCCTAGGCCTGGGCCCCCCTGCAGCTGCGTATCAGTCTTCTGGTCTGCAAGATGGGGTGCGGGCGGGGTTTCCCTCCGCACTCGGCTCCCTGAGCTACTGCAGGCGGAGCTCAGCGCCATCAGGCTTCCCCCGACAGCCTCCCTGGCCCGGCCCTCCGGCGGCTGACACCTGCTGGCACTGCGCACTGGGAGCAGGCCCTGGGAAGCAGCTGAGAGGGGTGCTGTGCCCAGGCCCTTCTCTGGGGGGCAGTGGGAGGGACGTGCTTGGAGGAGGCAGGCGGGTGGCAGGAGATGGGGACTTTACGCTCGTCCCTCCTCACCAGCGGTTCACCCCACCCCCCTCAGGGCGCTGGACAACTCTACTCTGGCCCCGTGGCCATTTGTTTCTTCACGAGAAAAATGGGCCCCCTGCCAGGTGGTGAGGGGTGGGCCCCGACGTACCACGTCAGTGGATAGCCACTGCTCGATGTCCTCCATGAAGCAGGCCTGGGTGACAGGGATCTGGAAGGAAGGGCAGAGGGTGAGGCGGGAGGGCAGTGCCCTGGGCAACAAGGCAAAGGCCCCCCAGCTCAGTGCCCCTCAGCCGGGTGGCCCGGGCAGTCACTCACCCCTGCCCTGAGCTTTCTCCTCCTCACTTGGCCCTGCCCTGTCCCCTGCTGGCATTGTCCCCCGTGCCAGGCTGTGGGTGAGAGTGCAGAGCCAGGGGCCTGAGCAGGAGATGGGGATGGCGCTCCTCAGCTGGAGCAGGGCCCGCAGGGAGAATGGACCCCAGTTCTGCTGCACTGGTCGGGAGCGAGGATGGAGGAGGCCCTGCGCAAAGGCCCACGGGGGCTCCGGAGCGTCTGACTAAAGAATATGCAAAGCCCAGGGAGGGACCCCAGACGTTTCTCCAGCCATCAAGGCTGGGGTGGGGGGCACAATGAGTGGGCCAGGGGCTGCCAGGTTCTGTCCCCTGGCACCTCCACAGAGCCCCTGACACAAGGTGGTGTACAGGGCCCAAGAGCAGAGAGGTGCCGAGTTGCCCAGACAAGGCCAGTCTGGTGGGCTCAGGGGCAGTGCTGCAGATGGGGACATTTTGCTTTGGGCCACAAAGTCACGGGCTCTGCCACAATGGCTGCTGCACAGGGGAAGGGCTTGGGGGCCTCCTTCTCTAGCCGAGTGTGCAGTGGGCAGCTCCAGTTGGAAGTTACGGGCGCAGACTTCGGAGTCGGAAGGACTAGAATCCGGCCCGGCCCCTAATACAGCGAGACCCTGGGCAGGAAACTTAACTTGTGTGCCCCTCATTCTGTCCCCTAGAGTGAGGACAACAGCGCCCACTGTCCAGGCTGCTGTGAGGGTGAAATGGGACAGCAGATGTCAAGAGGTTGGCACAGTGCCTGGCCCAGAGTAGCTGCTCAAGAAATGCCAGTTACTAATTCCTACTCATTAGTGTAGCACAAATAAAACTACTATTTCCTAGTTACTACTTAGCTGCTTTGGGAGAGAGAAGGAGAGCGAGTCTTTCTCCAACCAAGCCAGTTCAGTCTCCAAGCTCCACCACCCACGGGGCAGCAGCAGAGCCCGGCAGGAAGGCAGGAGCCGACTTCCTGGCAGCAGCAGTGGCAGGTGCTCCGGCTGCGCACACTGGCTCCCTCTCCCACCTCCTCTGCCCCCGTCGCCTCTCAGCTGCCAGAGCAGCTGCCTCGGCCTTGCCTGAGTCCAGAGCAGAACTGGGCAGAGGGGCTGCGGAAGCTGCGCTGTCTGGGCCAGCCTGGGAACAGCCAGAGCCCCCGGGCCCTCGCTGCCCCTCCTGCCTCCTCTGGGTCTTGGTCCAGGCCCCACTCCCTCAGGGAGCACCACCGTGCCGTTCCTGTGCCCGCGGAAGTCCTGCGAGCAGCACCCCAGCTCTCCGGGTGGCCAGGCCTGGCCCCTGCTCACCATGCCTTGTCTCACCATCCAGTCACTGAGGCTCTTCTCGCCACCGCCTCCCATCTGGATGAGAGAGAGTCACACTGACAGTGGTGGCACGGCAGGGCCAGGGCCACTGGTGGCCGCAGCCTTCTCCAGCAGGGATGATCCTTTTGGGGCAGGAGGCCCACATATCTGTGTGTGTGTGTGTGTGTGTGTGTGTGTGTGTGTGTGTGTGTGTGTGTGTGTGTGTGTGTGCATGCATATGTGCACCGGGGGTGTGGCGGCAGGTGCCAGGGCATGGAGGAAGCAGCGGAGGCGCCCACTGTGGGTGAACCACAATAGCTCTGGGACACCAGAGCCCTGATGGGCTGGGACAGAGCTGAGAGCAAAGGAAACAAAGCTTCTCAGCCCTTTCCACAAAGATCCCAGAGGCTGGGCCCGAGCAAGCCTAGGACGGCAGAGCAGGTGGCCGTCAGCCAGTCCGGAGGCTCCCAGGGTTTAGGAACATTGGTCTGTCCAATACCCTCCTGTTCGCCGATGGCAGCAGGCTTCCTAGGGCCCCGGAGTGGACTGGGGGTAGAGGGAGACTGGAGTCCTGGCTCCAGGCCCATTACCCTGTGACTGCCTTGCGCACCCCACACAGACCCAGCGCGGGGCCTGGCTCACTGCGCACCACGGGCACTCTAGGGAGTGAAGGAACATCACCACGCCACAGGACTGGTGAGTCCTGCTCTGAATCCCGGCGGCAAACATGGGCTGCCCACAGAGTCGGCACTTGATTCTGTTGTGTGCTTTGCCATTTGCTGTCGTGTTCTGACGGTTTAGTGGGTGAAGGCCTCACCCCCAGCCAGACTTAAGCACCTCAGGAGCAGGAGTCTGCTCGCACAGTTTTAGGAAATCATTCTGATCTGGTGGAGGTTGCTTCAAGTTATCGGAGAGGAAATGAGTGGTCATTTGTTTACGTTTCTGTTTTTCTGCAACAGGAGTTGTGTGTGTGTGTGTGCGTGTGTGTGCGCTTCCTTCCCGTGGGCTAGCTGCAGGGTGGTGTGGCAGCGGGAGACCTGGACCCTGGTTCTAGTCATGGCAGAGTTGCTGTGTGCCCCTGGGGAAGTGAGCCCTGTCTCGGGGTGCAGCACGAGTGGACTGGCTGGGATTGTTGCCTGCTGGGCTGCGGAGTCGGCCTCCGCTCATGAGAGGCGGCTACAGCAGGCTGGACGCATCTGGATTCTTGGGGCTGGAAGGGTGGCCCTTGGAAAAGGCAGGCCGAGGAGGGGTGCATGTACCTCCGTTCACTCGCCTCTGTTCCTAAGAGCTTTTCAGATCCGGTGTGCTTGGCGCCAGCACAGCTTTGAGGCCAGGAAGACCAACAGCTGTGAGACCCTGGACAACGTACCTGGCAATTCTAAGCCTCGGTTTTCTCATCTGTAAATGGGGATGACCACACAACAGCACTGTGAAGACTAAATGCTGTCTTATTAATACTTTACCGTGGCCAGGCACCATGCTGCGGATACCACACCTATCGTTTCACCTAACCTCTCCCTGGAACTCAGCTTTCCCATTTGTAAAAGGGATAATAACATACCCTAAGGGTTTGCGGGGTGGGGTGCCAAGTGCTTAGTGCGGGGCCTGGCAAGGAGCTCAATAAGTGATCACTTATAAAACAAAAAAGATTAAAAAGATTGGATACTCTGAGACATGGCGTGGCACGCTGCTCTGCTTGGTGGCAGGTCACGCCACACAGGAGGCACTGGGCTTCCCTGCTGGTCCTGCCTGCATGGTGCTCTGTGCCTCGCTCTGTTCTGACCTGGGAATCATTCCTCAGATGCTGAAAGGCCCAGGAGTGGAGACAGAGCACCCTTAGGAGTCGCCAGGACTTGACTCCACGGTAGACTGGATGGCTTCCGCAGCCTCCTCCCAGCTTCCAGCCCCATTCTTTTAGAATGGAAGTCAGAGCAACGTCCTTCCTGTGCTCAAGACTTTCCAGTGGGTTCCACCTCACTTGGGACGCAGTTGGAGTCCTCCCGGCCGCCCCAGGTCCCTGCTACCCCTTGGGCTCCATCTCCCACCCCCCGACCCCACGCTGGCCTGGGAAGCCCCCAAGGTGCCGCCCCTGCTCTTCCTCCCAACTCCTGGGTCCTGCTGTTTCTAACTGTCCCCCACGGGAGCTGCTCTGTCTGCTCATGTATGGAAGCAGAAATTCTCAGGCTGCCCGACAGGCATCTGGATACACGTGTGAAGATGGGAGAATCGTGCGTGGAATTCTTGCCTGGGGGAGGGGTCGCCTACAAAGTGCGCTTGGTGCTGGACATGTGGCTGTCACTCAATCACAGTGAAGCAACTAAATGAAACTAACAGACACCCTAGGACTCCACCCTGCTGTTTTAGGGTACTCCTCTGCCCACATAACTGCAAATGAGAGGTCTCTAGAGGGGCAGTGAGGTATGCTATTGACTGGACTCTAACTCTGTGCCAAGCACCCTAAATATATCCACTCACATGTTCTATCATCAGCTACTGCAGTCCCACCATGGGCCCCAACGCGCAGATGAAATGGAGGGTCAGGAGGGCTAATGGTCTGCCTGACACACAGCTGGTAGGTGGCGGAGTTGGGACAAGATCCCAGGGCCACTGGACTGCAGCTCCCTCACTGAGACTCAGGTCAGGATCCCTGCCACGTGGCCAGGCGTGGCGGCTCACGCCTGTAATCCCAGCACTCTGGGAGGCCAAGGCGGGAGAATTGCTTGAGGCCAGGAGTTCAAGACCAGCCTGAGCGAGAGCGAGAGCCCGTCTCCACAAAAAACAGAAAAATTAGCTGGGTGTGGTGGTGTGCACCTGTAGTCCCAGCTACTCGGGAGGCTGAGGCAAGAGGATCGCTTGAGCCCAGGAGTCTGAGGTTGCTGTGAGCTATGATGATACCACTGCACTCTAGCCCTGGCGACAGAGTGAGTCCCTGTCTCAAAAAAAAAAAAAAAAACCAGAATCAAAGAATCCCTGCCATGTGAGCTCGGGCAAATGGCTTCACCTCTCTAACAGTTTCCTTAGCTGTAAACTGGGAATAACCACATTTGCCACAAAGCGCCAATTTGAGAGCCAAATGAGGAAAGAGGTGTGGATGTGCCGAGACAGTGCCTGGCACACAGTGGGGCATTTCCTGCCGTCCTTCTGGGCCCCAGGGTGGCAGGAGGGCCCCTCTGCTTACCGCGCCAGTGCTCTGCTGCCGGGCGTCCAGGGCTCCAGCCAGGCCATCTGTTGCTTGGGGGGCTTCGTATTTTACCCTGAAACACAGAGGCCACCAGGCCATCAGATGCCATCCTTGCCTCACTGGGCCTGCCAGCTGAGGCAGGGACAGAAGGGTGGGGGCGGCTCAGGTCACCGGACGGGCGTGGGCTGAGGCTCCTACTCTTCAGGCCTGTCTGGGAGTGGGAGGAAGGATCTCATTTCCTGCCTCTGGGAATCAGGATCAGATGTGTGACCCACATGACAGGCACAGCAAGGCTGGGGAAATTAGGGAGGGTGTCAGTGGCCAAAGGCCAATACCAAGACCACCAACGGCTGTGGCCAGATTTGGCCAAACTCAGAGGACTGAGATACGGCTCTGATGACCCCATGTCCGTGGAGAATTATCTACAGACCCTTTCTCGAGCAGTTTCTGTTTCCTAATATTGTACGCTGTGGCTCCGTACAAGGTGGCATCGGAATGGTGGGCTCCACGCTGCTGCTGAAACAAATCCGTGCGGTGCTGGGCGAGGTGCTGCCTTGCGCTGTCATCAGCACAGACGCCTGCTCCGTACCCCACCCCCGCCCCCCGCCACTGTCTCGGCAGCGTGTAGAAGACAACTCAGTTATGGCTCTTCTAAGTGAGCCCTGGGAGAAGCCCACCAGCCGGGCAGGGTGGGAAGGCAGGAGCTGGGAGGAAACGCAAAGCGGGCGGGCTGGAAGGGGCAGGGGGCAGACCCCGCAGCCACCAGGCAGGTGAGGAAGGGCGGGGAAGCATGTGCTGGGTTTGAGGTGAAGTCTCAGGGCAGTGGGAGGAGAAGGTGGGCTAACGAGGGGCTGGGGGTCTGTCCCAGATGCTGCAGGGGGACGTCCAGGGCATCTGTTCTCGCTCTGAACTGCCAGCAGAGGCCAGGCCTCAGCCCGGGGTTGGTCTAGCTTTGAGGCGAACAAGTGAGCCACGGAGCTCTGCTCTCGAGGGGAAAGCCCTGCACAGCTGGGGATGGGGGTCTCCAGGCGGGGACGCTGGCGCTCCGCCGAACCTGGAGCTGGCCTAACTCCAGGCTTCAGGAACTGGGACCGTATCACATCTAACTCTTGCAGTGCCAGTGTGCCCTCCTGGGAATGCGATGGGCTGGCGCTGAAAGGGGCTTCGTGAATAAGATCCCCGGTTCCCAGGCAGTCCTTTGAAGAGCACTGCTACCCGCTCCTTCCCACAGGGGCAGAGTTCCCTGGAGGAGTGCGACTGCTGGCTGCTTCGTCCCCTCGTTACACGGCTCCATCCACGGCAAGTGAGCTGGGGACTACTGAGAGCCACGCTGGCACCAACCTTAAAGCCAATGGGGTGGGGTCCGGGGTGCTCACTCCTTTTGGAGAGAGGCTTAGCACCCCTGGCTAAATCTGGGCAACGAGAGCTGGCAAGGAGGAAGTGATCCAAAGATTCAGCAGTGCCTCCTGACCCAGAGAAGGCCTGCTGCTTCAGGGTGCGGAGGCAGCACGTCGCTGCCTGTGTCTGGGACATGCTTGGCGCGTTGTGGAAAAGGCAGAATAAGGCGCGCCCGGCCCCAGGAACATGCAGAAGCTGATGTTTTCCCTGCACTCGTCAGAACTCTACGTTCTTTCCTAATTACTCCTTGCTACCGCTGCCTTTCCCTCGCTCGCTCTCTCTCTCTCCTGGCCACACGCACAGCTCTGAAGCCGAAGCTCGGCTGTCCCTGAGGGCCACGCCTACAGCACGGAGGGTCGAGGATACCCCTGAGGAAGCCCACACAACCCACACTGGGCTGCAGACCCTGGGCAGGGGCCTCTGCCCCACGTCAGTGCAAGAGGGAGGAGGGCCACTCCTCAGGTGAGGCTGGTAGAGCGGGGCTGGACCTGGGACCACCTGCGGTAACACCTGTCTAAGTGTTTCCTGGAGAGGACGTATCTGTGCACAGTGGCACAGAGCATGTTCCCAGGACGACGTGGAAGAGGGTGAGGAGAAGCATCCCACCTCCAAGAAGGCCTGGCTGAGGTGCCCCTGCTGCTCCTTGGCACCAAGTAGACGGGCTGTGACGGCGCCAGCTGTGGCTGGAGCTGGAGCAGAAACGGGGCTGATAAGGAGCTGGCTTCCCCGCCAGCCAAGATGGAGCCGGCTGCAGGTGGGGAGCCAGGCAGGCAGAAAAGGCCAGTCAGGTGCCCGGAGCTAGACGGTCCACCAGAAGCACAGGGTGGGCCGGCCCGGCACGACAACAAAGGGAGGAGAACTTGATGCTAAGGCACACTCCTGTCCCTGCTGGATCTTTTCTGCTGGGGTGGGAACCAAGACCTGGGAGGGCCTGCAGAAGCCAGGGCCTGAGAAGGTGTGTGATGTCGTGTAAGCTGTGCCCAGCCCCAGGGAGTTTCAAAGATGCAACTCTGGTAAGAAAAAACCCTTCCCATGCTCCCTATTGCTAATGCTA